CCTAATGGACCCAAACATCACTTAATGTAGCCGTTGGCGATTTCATCCCAGTTAAGAGTGGTTGGCATTAAAGTTTCAACAGTTTAGGTTGGCAGTATTGCCTCCTCAGTCCAGGGCTACCAACAATAAATCCTTCACAGGGACGTTAAAGTTTTATTGGAACTGAGAGCCCTTCCAGCGGTCACCATTCTCTATGTCATTTCTTTAAAAGCTCGACTCATGTCTGCTAAAAATTGTTTGTCAGGTAAAAAAAAATATTATTCGTTATAAAACAGGAAAAACTGGTTAATTTCAGTATCAAATCAAGATGTAATTATTTGCAGTAAAATATGAAGCTGCTAAATGAACACAAAGTGATTTTTTTCTTTGGTCAGGCAAAAGAGTGTGGTATAAATATAATTAATAGTTCATCACAGGGCTAAAATAGAATAATTTCTTAAAAGTCATATCATAAAAATATTTCTGATCTTTGTAGGGATAGAAGAGGCTAATCCATAAACAAAGGGAGTATCTATTCTGTGATCAGCTGTTTCAATTATTGATCAGCTGTAGATCATGTTCCATGTTGCTAGACCATATGGCTGTACTTATTGTTGTCCAAGTTGTCTAAATCCAAGCAGAATAGTAGTTAGTAACTGGCTATGCATAAATACTTCGATGTTAGTCAAACATTAATATTCTCTGAAAGATTCAAGTACACGTTTTTTGTGTGAAATTAAGTATTGTAAAAATTACTTTCAATTATTTTCACCTAGTAAAAACAACATAATTTCTCATATTTAGAGTTCTATTTCAAGAGTGTTTAAAAAAGGAAATTGAAGGTTGGGGATTTTTCAAAAATAATCTTTCAAATAAAGATTTTTGACTGGTAAAAGCAATCTAAAACATGAAACAAAACCTTCTTGTTTATTTACCCATGTTCTACTTTCTTTCTCATTAACTGTTAAAGTCAAACATTTGCCAGAATGTAGGGTTAGTTTGCATTAAACTTTGTTTATGAAGCTTGCCATATGTAAACTTCATAACCACACATATAGCTGAATAAAACATTGCTGTAAACCAAAAGTGTTGTACTCTGCAAACCCGAGTTTGCAACAAAATGTTTTAAAATATGTTGAAAACCAGTGTTATCAACAAATGTTAAAAATATTCTTTTGGTAACTCTAATGTACACATGACTTAGAACATTTTACTGCATACATATGTACACAACTTTTTGTAGAATACAAAATGTCTGTTGCAAATACTGAAAGATCCTTTGGTGTTTAAAACAAAACATAACATTTTTGAATTGTACAATTTTCTTTAAACCTGTGTTGTAAGCTCACAGTCACCAGAAGTCTGATTTGTATTTTGAACCCAAACAAATAGAAAGGAAATAATTACGTTAAAATAATGGTGTAACAAATATCAGGCAAAAAATTACTTTTAAGGTACATCAATGTTTGTATTACTTTGTAAATATTTAATATTTTATCATCAAGCAGTATGTTGAGGAAATGAAACAAATGTTTACATTTGATCTTTTATATTGCCAAATAAATATCAACAGAAAATATGCATTTATCATGATCAAAGGACTTTTTAGTTCAATCATTCGCAAGAAACTAATTTGACTGAAACATTCTCATATAAAGATTATTATTATTCCCATTATGATACTGCCAAGATTTTTCTGTCATAAATAATAATAAAATGCTTACATTAACAAAAAAAAGATCCATAAATCAACAATAAGTATCCCCATGGTTACACTGCCAAGTGTAACTTTAAGCGTGCGATTCCCGCTAATCAGTTTTTGTTAACATTTTTAACTACTAAATTTGATGTATCTTCAAAACGGTTTATTCTATGTTTTTACCAAGTGTTTAAAATTTATTATCTAAATAATTAGGTAGAATTGTAAATGTATGTCTAATCTAAAGTGAAAATACCCCCGCCGCAGCAAACCTGCAGACTAAGCGAATTTCCATTTGACTGATTGGATTTACACTGAAATGTCTACTTAAAAATATAGCATTTATTCCCGATTTAAATAGAATTAGTTTAACAAGTACTTAGGTTTGCTGCATCAGGGAGGGTAAAACTGTTTTTTTTGTAAAATGTTAATAGTTAGTAAGAAATAAAAACATTTTCCAAATTTGATCAAAATATGTTTATAAACAAGCAAACTACAACAGTTTACTCATTCTCCATAAGAATAACATGGGAATTTTAAATTTACAATTTTTTGGAATTTTCTCCGTAACCATTAGGCGCATAATAACGCTTCAATATACTAAATTATTTGTTTTTTTAAGCTCTACACAATGGTTTGGAAAGAAATTGCTAAATTTTATGTTTTTTGGGTCAAAAATGGGAAAAACCTATTTTTACCCCATAAAACCCCCCGTAAACCCCCGTTCCCATGGTGCGATCATGCTGGATCGCGAACTCGTTCGAATAAACGTAGGTTTACACGTTTATACCAAATTTCATCAAAATCGGATCATTTTTGCTCGAGTTATCGTGCTAACGGACATATATATATATATATATATATATATATATATATATATATATATATATATATATATGAATTTGAACGGATGGTGTTTTTGGCCTCTAGGGACCTCAAAACGAAAAAAAAAATCGGTCCCGCGTCCAGGTCTTACCATGAGTACTACGGTAATAGCTTATTCCCTATATGGGAAATTCGCTAAAAGAATTTTTTGTTTCCACAGAAAACCAATTTCTTTTTTTTAATTACAAAATGACCTATAAAAAAGTAATGAATCAAGATACAGTTAGGCCTATAGTTCTACCTAAATATTTAGAGGGCATTATTCCATGCAAACTGATGGTTTAATTATTAAAACCCAATAATTAGAACTGAAGTTATATCAAAATTAGTTAATTACCTAAAAAAAAGTATTAAGGGTGTACTTAACGAAACAAATTACTTTTAACTATGTTTATACCTATTCTTATGCATATGAAACACATGGTATAAGTTTGAGAGACCTAGTGATAATGTTAAAATGGTAGCATTTTCACTGCCATATCCCCTTAATAAGTTGAAAGTTTCTACCCTTATCTTAGGCACAGAAGAAAAATGGCAGACTTAAGTGGTGTACATCACTAGTCCGCAGTCAGTGGTGTCTAGGGCAAAGTCCAACACCGCCCCCTCGTCTTTCATGTACTACAACGACCCAGTGCTCTTGCTCTGTGTGATAGTAATTTCCACAGGATGCTTTCCGCTCGTGCTTTTCCATGCTTGTCAAAAGTGTGTTCTGCGCACAACACCCTAGAGCTGAATGTACACGGTTGTTCCATAAGCAAGCTTCTTCTCTACCTTCCTTCTCTGTGCCTTAGGTAGGATCAGGAATAGAACTAGGAAAAAAATCCTAAAAGTTAGTTCTTTTTTCAGCTTGTTTCTCTCCTTTGAGGGTTTGAAACCCATCTTGTTTAGTCATGCCCCCCTCCCCAATATAAAGGTCTATTGGAGTGTTGATCTACAACTATTAAGGGTTATGGAGAATATAAAAAAAATTGAAATTTTAAATTCTCTTTTTATTGTCATGGAGAATAATAAATTCAAAATTCAAATTTATTCCACTAAGCAAAACAATTCAATAGGTCACGTCAAATTCTAATATTAACAAGAAGTACCAAAAAGGCTGGCAGTCTAAAAGGATTCAAGCAACAAAAAACACTCAGGCAAAAAAGGGGTAGAACACAGAGAGATAAAATAAAACAAAGCAAAGCAGGGCAAAGTGGCAAAAACCTATGCACAAACTGACAATAATTTAGTGACAAACTCAAAAAAGCTTTTGCTTCACTGTTTCTACTTACTTTCAATGACTACTTACGATGTTACAGCAGTGAAGAAATCATCGGTAGAGAAGAGTGGATATGCCAATAAAAAGATCCCGGAGATTGTTTTTGAATTTTGTAAAATTTTTGATTAGAGTTACATGGCGTTTTACCTAACCTTATAAACGAGAAAAATATGCATGAATCAATGGTGTAGTCAGTGGGATGTGACTAATGGGATTTACTCTCAGGGTGGCCCGAGCATTGTCTTGTTCAACCCTCGTAAGTAGGGGGTTAGTTGCTTGCACGGGTAGGACCGAGAAGCGCAAGCACCTCTGCGCTCCTACCCCGAGGAATTCTTCGGCCAAAGTGTTGACAGTTTTACGACTGCGCTCCTCTGTCCGTTTCCCAGGAGTGATCTAGGGTGATATTTGCAGTTTTTTGTACTAGGGTAGCTAGTACAACAGTCCATCCATGAAGATTAGTACAACAGTCTTTTTAGTAACCTGTTGTTGCTTATGCTTAAATATTAAAATTATTTGATAGGTATCTAATATGTAGACCAAACGTCTAACTTAAAAGAAATAAGTAATTTATCGTATACAAATATCGAACAAGTATATTCTAATTTTATTTCAAGTCTACCAACGCATGTACAGTAGTTTTAAGAGGTCTAAAGTGTTTTGGTATCTTGTACTGTAAATTAAAAACATGTTGTTAGAAAATATCGTGAAATAACAACTTAATAGCAAAATAACAAGGTTGAATCAACGAAGTGCAAGTTAGTTATGATTATTATTTTCATGAATGGTATTTTGTTACATATAAATATGTGTTGTATTGGGAGTGGCTTACAATGAATCCAAAGCTTAGAGCTAGATTGCTAGCATCAGCTGATGTCGTTTGCGCAACTGCAGAACAACTTTCGATCTCCACAGAACGCCAACCTGTCGTGACAAATTTCCCTGCGTTATTTGCTAGTTTTTCATCAAATAAAGCTATTAAATACATAAAAATTACAAAATTGATTATCATATGGCCATTGGTCATTGATTAAATACTTTTGAATAACATTTTAAGAAAATAAACACTTTATAATGTGTGTGTGTTTTAGAAGACTGTTGGCAAGCTTGTAACATGACGTCCTTGGTTTTTTATTTTCTCTCCACTCAAGTCTAGCAGAAACATTTAGTTACCGTGGAACAGTCGACCGGAAAGGATTACGGTCCTTTAGTTAGTAAATTTTTAGTAATTTTCGTGTTTATATTGTTATTATCCCGGTCACATTCCAATATGTTGTTGAGGACAAAAAGATAGTGACACTAGCTATGTTATTTGTTACCGCGTGAAGGAAAACTAGTGTCATCAAGGTAGGATATACTGTAGTGACATATGTCATCTTCCTTAACCTAAATAGGTCTACCAATTGTTATTATAGGGCTGTGTTTTAGTATTTTAAATTGACTGTTGATACAACCAGGGCGACCCATTTTGACACAGGTGATTCTTACGAGCCTAATCAAGCCATTATAATTGTTATTTATAATCTCAAACTGATGATTACAACAACCAAATGGAGTCATAACTTAGGCCTAGCCTTGTGTCATTTTATCTTATCCCTTGTGTTGGTTTGTTGAAATGTCAGTCTTTATTCTCGCAATCATAATCATGGCTGGCCTAGCTATCAAAGTTAGATCCATCAAACAGTATGTAGGCTAATAGACTAAAGGCGCAGGGGATTACAGGCGAATAAATTAGGTATGTTTACGTAGGCCTAAATATTCTATCCTGAAGGCTTGAAGTGTAAAGACATTGATTGCTGTGGTTACGTAAGTAATGAGCAAGTTTTTAAAGCGATCACAATGTTCAAGTAACTTAAGTAATTTTTTGATGGTAGGCCTAGCCTATAAGAAAATTTGAGCACCGCGCTGAACCCATACTGTACAACACAGGCCTGAACTGTAACTTGAAATCACTAGACCTATTTACAAATCTTTCAGAATAATCCGAGCGGTGCGACTGGGTTGTAGTGAAGTATGATCGAGCCTTTCTTAAACATGATTTTTCATTCAACCCATTAGACCCACTCATATTCCTATCCACAATCAAGGCTCCCGTAACGACCAAGTCCAGATTCAGTGTTCAAACAAATATTTTTCACGATGATTTTCACAAAAATTAGATATTGCTTAAGAAAGCGATATGAGTTGATCTTACTAACTTATAAATAGGCCTAATGTTTTGTATGAGAATATTTTGTTTAGGCCTAAGTTACTATGCCATAAGACATGAAATTCATTTAACTAAAAAAACATACTAGGACCAACTTATTAAGTTAAAGAGGTAACAAAGAACTTAAAAGGCTAGGAATTTTAAATAAAATACAGTTTTACTTTCTATCCGTTGGAAAAGTAAGCTAGTCCACTCGAGATTTTGACCAGTATTATTGCGACTGTGAAGAATTTTGTTATGACCAGTAAACATTATTGCACCGCACATAAAATTAAAGATTAAGTGCTTTGTGGGTCACAGCCAAAGAAAAATTAAGAGGAATTCAGATCCTTGTTAAAATAAATCTGTACTAAATAAGACACTTTTTAAGCGCTGTTAAGTGTCCCTGTTTCCTTTCATGGTAAAATATGTAATTGAAAATCAAATTAAGCAGGAGGTAAGTTTAGCTGTTTTAAAGCAATCAAGTTTTATTTTCAAAACTTAGACATGACCTGAATTTATGATATAAAATACAAGTTTAAAAGCTTAAATTAGTTCACTTTCCTATAGGGAACTAATTGTGTCATCAATGATAACTTATAAAGTTTTACAAAGAGTTAACTTAAATAAAAGAATAAGTCAGCTAAATGCAAAATTTTGTTATGTGCTATGTTCACCTTATTCTGGTTACAAATTTTTGTCATATTTTACGCTGTCATACTTACTTGAATACCTGTCTTAAATTGTTGTCTTTTAATCTTTGACCGAAGTATCTCGTATACATAAGTTACCCTGACTTAGGCCTATATTTGTATGTAGGCTATAAGTTGTCTCCAGTGGCATAAAATTTAAGTAATCTTTAATAAAACAGAGTTGTATTTGGGGGTTTTGTTGAATAATTTGTTGCTCAGCATAAGTTATTTCTTTTTGCAAGATTTTTGAAAAATCAGATGTGTTTCCTTGGTTTTTCTCAAAATTAGAAATAATTTTCTTGTCCCCGCATTCAAAATTGTTTTATGTACCATAGGCCTAAAGCCATAAAGTGTTGGAGCAAGCAATATGATTAACTATTGATATTTTCTGATAAAAAAAACACACTGTACACAAGCTGAACAAAAAGATTTTCGTTAAGTATACTCAGGTTATTTTAAGTGCGCTAACTTAAGTACAACAGCAGTTAAGTTGTAATGAGATCACTGATAAACTATCTACTAAGTTAGTCCAATATTTCAACGGCTTGGATGCTAGCCTAACCTAACTTGACCGCTGGCCCTTTCTGTATGAAATAAAATTAGGATTAGGCTACAACAAGATTTTTTTATCTAGGATGTATCTTAAGCATTTTGTGATAGCTAACAGCAAGTATCAAAATTATTGAACTGATAAAAAACATGTTTTTCCGCCTTAGTTCATTTTAAACCATTTAAAATCAGTAAACACTGAATGAATGAAAAATAAAATTCGGTGCGGTGCCTAAACTAATAAATGATATGTGGGATACAGGTATTGGAAAAGACCTGAAATTAAGTTAGTGTTGAATAAACTAAAATCTAACTTAAGCCTATTTTATTTTTCCCCCATAAGGTTAGATTAATGATATTAGCCTAAATATAATAGTAATTAGGTATATTTTGATAAATGTTAAATAACCAACAGTTTTTGATTATTGTGACTTTTGTTTCAGAATCTTTGGCCCTCAACACAAAGTTTCTCACCATACGGTCTTTGAAGAATCTCTGGAGTCGCTAAAACTGAGAGAATTTCATCAAAACGAATTAATTCTGTGAAATTAAAATGAAGTGTTTAGCAAGTGCTAGTTTGTGCTTTTTGTTTACAAATTTGATTGTGTTTGCTAACGGACGGATACAGCCTGTTTACCTGAATCAGTTCGCTGTTTTCGTCCCATCTGGAGAATCCGATGCAAGTGAAATCGCCAGCAAACACGGATTCGACTTAATAGGCCAGGTATGTCATAGAAACTATGCATAATCAACTTAGACTTATTACATGAGATTGCTTTTAGAATACAACTCGTTGTTCAATTTGCCCTCTTAGACAATTGATTTATGTACCATGAAAACAGATTGGGTTTAGGCAATAGTTTTACCTTACGTCAACTTTTTACAACCTTATGCCGCACACGAAGCAGGGACATGTTATGACTTAAAACACACTAGGGACCTGTAACCTGACTGCCTATCAGCCTTAACCCGCCCTTACACAGCTAAATTTGAAAGTAGTTTAGTGCTTTTATTACAAAATATAAGGCGAAACTTAAATTCAAAGTAGTTAAATTTAAAGAATCCAGTGTGTTTAGAGTAGAGACCAAAGTCGTTCGGATTTGGGAAGCCAGCACGGTTTAAAAAAAATTTTTTTAAAAGGTTTATTTCACGGTTTAAAAGTTCGGCACTTGTATTATGTTATTTGACAATATTTGTAAAGAGATGTTTGTTGTTTGTAACATAAAATTGACTATTCGTTCATAATAAATCCTTGTAAAACAATTAATCGAGCCTGGATTCAACCAAGTGGATAAAAATACAATAGAATGACCTAACCTCCTCTAACCGTTCGGAGTTTGGACTGCTGTACCTTATGATTTATATATTTTTGTTTTTGTAAAGCTGATTTTGGCGTTTGTAAAATCCAAAACTACGGTAAAACCTCACTAACTTGACAATTTGTAGACTCAAAGGTTGTGAGTTTGGGGGTTGTCGAGTTATCTAGAACAATGAAATTTGTAATGGGTTTTAATGAATGAATACATAGGCCTAGGCTAACAGAATTATGTTTACATAACAGTGAATCCTCGATAACAAGCCACTTTGATAACGAATGTCACTTTTAAATCCCTTACTACGGTTTTTACCCCTAATCACATGTTATTGCAATACCTCGACAAGAAGTCAACCTTGATACAGTAGTCTCAGTTGCATCCGCAATTAGGCTACTTATTCAACTGTCATTTTGTTTCGGTCATTCTTCTCCTGTTAGTTTATTTAAGGCAATATTACAGTCAAGACTTTTTACTAAACCGCAATATCCTATAAATTTTTCATCGTCTATCTTGATGATCGTTACACACAGGAATGACACAAGAAAAACAATGATTTAAATAACTAGGTACTGTAAAACACTCTTTTTTAAAATCTTAAACACATACACATCACCACGACCATCAGCCGTCCGATTGATCCCAAAAACTGGTGGGAAGAAATCTGAAATTAAATGACTGACCCTAGCAGAGCGACTGACGGACCTGCGTCTGAATGCACCTTTCAATGCAGTTATACTAGACGTTTAGAACGGCTTTAGAAAGTAAAAAAAACTGCTTTGAAAATCAAACGCCTTCTTCTTCCTTTCTTTCATACGCTTCGGTAGCCCCCCTCGACAAGGTCCTAGAACTGCCAAACTGCCGAGAGTAGGCGATGACTATAAATCTGTCAATAGAAGTACACAGGCCTACCATTTGCGTACTTAAATGTCACTTCTCCCCTATGCTAACCATTCCCTAACAAATTTTTACATTAGGTTTAGAAATTGTATTACTTGTTTGTGATCAAATTTTAAGTGTTTGTTCAAAATGACTTATTCCAATCATGTTAACACCAATAATTAATCCAATTATTGTGTGCGGTAGCCTAAATTGACACCGTAGACACTTGTTTAATCCTTCACTGAACCAATCTTTTCAAGGTTAGGTCAGACAGTTAGTAGCCCTATAGGTTCCAACAGACCTTCAAAAGATAAGGTGTGTTGCTAGCCTAGTGGTTAGATATTGGTCGTCATTGCTGGAGGGGCGGGTACGATTCATGGCATATCCAAAAAACCTATGAGTTAAGACCGCTTGCCCTAAAAGTGTTGAGCACAGTGTATGCCTCCTGTAAAAAATGCCACTGGCGTAGACAACAATAAAAAAAAGAAACCGGTTATAAAAGGTAAATTACAAATTTTATACAAGGCCTACGGAGGTTATGTTTAATATCAGTTATCACACATAGAGAAACATGGGCTCAAAAAAAGTTGTAGATAAGAAACAGGCTTAGTCTATTTCGGTATTATTTTGTCAAAGTTTTCGAAGGATTTGACTTACATTACACAGTAGATAAACCAGGTTTTCTTGCCACCAAATTGCTTGATAGGTATTAACCACGCAATAATGTACAGCGACCACCAATGGTCTAGAAAATTGCCAAACGTTATAAATAAATATACTGTATTTGTAAATTAAAGCTGCGTCCACACTGGGCAAAAACTTTTCACTAACATTTTGTGATTTGCTAGCGAACATTCGATGTTCGCTTGGTGAGGATCTCTCGAAATATGTTCTAAGAGCGAGGGTAGGGGTAGTGTGTTGCCATTTTTGATCAGCATAAATGTTTGCTATTCTGTATTTAAGCAAACTTTTGTCATGTTCATTGAACGCAGCCCTCGTATTGCAGCCCTGCAGCCTGTTTCTGTGCGTTTACAGTAATTTGTGTGGTTTTTAGTAAGTTTGTAGGCATATCTTTATAATGAATAAAGATAAGTTTTTGTCATGGAAAAGATGGTTAGGCTACTTTAATTCAGTTGAATGAACAGTACAGCATACTGTGAGATTTACCAGAAGAAAACTATAAAATAAAGAATAGACTAAATGTCAGCTGAAGAGAAATTGGAGCTGATGTGGATTTTGTTAAGAAATAACTCCAGTTTGTTAGCGCTGCATAGGAAAGAATAAAAACATGTGAAATGTTTTTTACGAATATATCTTTCATGGTCTATATATTTGGTAATTGAAATACCAAATGGCTTTTCTTGCTGCCTTTATTATGTAGCCCTGGTTTGGGTTTCATTATTTTTCATTGATTGCGAATCCGCCATACACTATAGTTACGAAGGGCACTGCAAAAACCCTAGGTAAAGGTTTCTCAACATGCAACTACAAGGTAACTAATCAATATTTCAAACTTACTGATTCTGGAAATTCGTATTCAGTTTTGAATTTTCAAGACCTATTAATTGTACTAACATTAATAGGTCTTGAATTAACGAAATCTAAAATAAACATCGATCCAAAATCAGAGTTTGACATCCGGTTACAGTTGGGAGAACAGGCGACCAACTATCAAGTCCGCTCTGAAGTATATATTTGTATCATCTCCTTCTGTCTCTCCCGCCTCCGACGATACCTTTATTATACTGCAATGATGATTATGCTGCTATGATAATGTAGTATGCAGCAAAACCAACAGTAGGACAGTTAATTCAGACGCATTACGCACATCCAACTTAAACTGTGATTAGAGCAAACATAATTTTATATTGTTCGTCGATCAGCTCAAATCGCAAACGTTACTTTCTAGTTCAGCGTACAAATTATGTCCAACGAACATGTTATTCATGAACGTTCCACCAGTGTGGATGGCACCTTAAGAGTAGCAAATCTTAAAATATGGGGCTTTACATCTAATGCGACTACTCAGCGAGGAAACGTTGGTTTGATCCTGTAACATTAGTATATTGTAGAAAGCCACAAATGGTGGTAGGTTCAAACACTGCCAATCATTAATGGATTTTAGTTGCTTCTAACCAGGATTAGATGGTACTAAGCCCACTTAACAAGAGAAAATATAAGAAAACAGCCCCTGTGGCCTGTACCTACTGGAGATCATCTTCCATCAAAAGTCATAAAATGCATAATTTCCCTGTCATAGTTAAACCAAATGTTTATTTTTAGATGCAGAAAAATAGTTGATAGTGGCAATCTGAGCTGCCCTAGAAAATAACAAAAGGTCAATTCTTGTTTATTGAAATGCTAGAATATCTGCTGAAGACCCAATAATCAATCAGTGATTAAGTATGAATCAAGTAATTAGCATTTACATCACATCTCCGCTTTTATGTTTCCCTTAGCGTAAAACGTCTAATTTAAAACAATATAGCTGATATAGTCCTAATTAGAAATAAATAAAATAACTGTAATGAGGGTAACACAATCTTATTTTTCTTCTTATTTTAAGGCAGAAATTTTTCCAAATCTTCCAAAAAAGAGTTCGACAAATTGGTTACTAAATTCATTTTTATGCACTCTACTGTTTCTAGTTTTTCTTTACTGAGGGTTCTCTTTAGTATAGAATAGTGAATAACTCTTAAATTAAAAATGACCTCTAAACTCTTTATTACCCTGGGCCTAAATGTTAGAGCAACACCTAATTGGATTCAATCTTAAAAAATAATAATTAATAAACTACTGTAATAAAATAACAAGTATGCACAGATCGTGTTTAAACAATTATACTGTAATGAATCGGCCAAAAATTAAGAAAACCGCTGTATGCATTATTTTTGTCTTTTGCTCAGTTAGAAAAATATAACCGGAATATTATTCTTCACATTTATGGCTTACAGTTGTTTATAATATTCACTCACTATTTTAAAAATTCATTTAATAAATTATCTAATTCATACAAGAGACAAGAGACTAATTTGCTATATATTGTTTCACGAAGAGATATCCTCTTTTGCCCTTATTTGTACGAATTCAGGTGAAATGAGATTGGAATTTGTTAACTCTCTGTTTTGTTTACACGCCTGCGGTCCTCTACGAACTTCGTTGTGGTAAAAGAGTTCCAAACTTTGTTCACTTTCTTTGTAAATTATCAAATACCCTTTGGGAGTTTTAAGGTCTTTTCTTTATTTAGTTGGAATGGAAAGGGAAGGTCTTTACAAGCGTTTTTCCATTTACTGCCCCATTTACCGTAAGCTGTTATTTTAAAGCTAGTGTTGTGTATATCGATGGTGTAGGTATGAATTGTTTTAAGGTGGTTTTGGTTTTAGAGAGTTTCCCTTTTGGGAAGTAATTTCCGTAGGTGGCACAGTAAGAATAATTAATTAATTATGAAGTACTAGCTGCTGTACCTGTGCTTTGCAACAGGAAGATGACACGAAAGAGAAACATTTTGATCTTTACATCTGTTGTATAA